AACTGTGAGGGAGCGGTATCACCAGGAGAGTCCATCGATGGCCGTGGTGCGCGCCTGAAAGCAGCTGCAGTAATGGTCCGTGGTGCATCCAATGATGCGGCAGTCATGCTGTTTTGGGAAGGTGCTGGTGACGCCCTTGCTCGAGGACTTTCGGGCTGATCAATAGATTGCATCCGGTCCCTCTGAAGGCTGCTGGTTGATCGGCTGCGCATGCCAAACAATGCAGGCGCCTGCGGCCGTTCCAGAGGGCCATTGGCATCGGTAAGGTCCGCGCCTTCACCACTAGAAACACCCTCGTTATCCATTCGCCGTGTGGCAGGTGTGTTGTTTCGAACCCAAAATGCTAAGAAGGGTGAGAGTAAATCATGACTGCATAGCAAGTGCTAACCGGAATCACTGTAATCATAATGATATTCATCCCGGTGTCGTTGACGCCAACTCTCGTGATGTGGACTTGTTGGACTCTCCGGCAGTGTTGGTTCTGGTTCAGCGGGCTGGGATGTTTCCTCTTTCCAAGGATTAACACCAGGTGACGGGGTCTCCGGGTCTCTTCTTGTATAGGGAGCTTGAGATGTTCTCGGAGAAATGTCCCCGGCTGGTATTTCAGGATTGGCAGAATCCGAGACGGTCGGGCTATCTTGCAAGTATGCCAGAGAGGATGGTCGCCCTGCAATCGTCCCCGCGGTAGATAAATGTGTCGCGTCCCGTGAACTCGAATGCGCCGCTGCAATGGGAAACGTAGCGGCAGGTCGGTTTGTTGCAATGCTTGGCAGTTGACCGAATTCAGAGTACCCCGAAGTAGTTGGAGGTAGGCTCATGGGGGTCGGTTGTCGATTAGTACCACCTGTTGACATCCAATCGTTCGTCGCTGAGCTCAGATCTGTTGGAGACGCGAACCCCACACTGGACGGAAGGTGATGAGGCAATTCTGGGCGCTGTGGTGACGTAGGGGAGACGAGCGGTTCCTCCATTGGTTCAGGAACTCCCTTGTGTCGAGGGCTGAATGGCATGCCTTCCGGTTGTTCTGCATCACCGTGAGCCCATTCGTTGGAAGGTATGGCCGCCTTGGTTTCTGCTGCTGTCGGAAGGAAAACAACAGAATTCACACATCGTGCTGCTTCCTCCACAGTTTCGCGAGTCTTATCGAATGCTTCATGAACGATGAGCTGGCTGATAGCAAATACATCAGCACACGCTTACCCGTGTATGGAGCCCGCATCTGCCCAGGAGTAGTGGCTTCGAGAGGGATGTCCTATGCATGCACATGAGAAAGGATATGTATCGGTTGTTGATGATTATACACACCTCTATCAGATCCTTACCAAGCGTTCCAATAATCTGATGATTCGTGAGTTCAAATCAATTCGTCGAATCAATTGACTTACAGTGATCTTCTCTGCAAGTTCAGCAAGGCCACCAAACTTGAGCACCATCACATCCTTAGTTGTACGCCTCTTGAAGTCGAAAACAGCAGGCTCCTCGTTGAAAATATGACCGTCAAGCTGCGCGATCTCCTGCCGGAGACTGGTAAGGAGCTCAGTCTGTTGCGGCAGCTGCTTGTTCTATATGACTTGTCAAACAATAGTATAGATATACCAGCATCAATAGAGCTTACTTCCTGTCCCATTTTACTAAGTTTCTTCTGCGCTACCTCTGCTTTTCCAACGAGGTTGCGTCTCCTCTTCTTGGCGTCATCCAAGGCCTCTTCCCGGGTACGAATACCCTCAAAGGCTACATTCAGTTCATGTATGCCACCCTGTAGCACCCATGCACACCTTGAGCATGGCCCTCATAGCGCCTTCATGTTCAGCAAAACGGCTGAGAGCAATAGACACATGCGAAAGAAGATCTCGTGATCGGGAAAGGATGTCCTACGAGTCGATCGTGAACTGCATTCCCATGCGCAACAGTGAACGTACTCCAAGATCAGCACCCTCGCCGCTTCCCCAGTGCGTTAGTGCTTCATTTACTTTGTCTAGATCACCGACCAGGCGTGTCAGACTGGTTCTTGTCAGTCAGCTGGGGAGCAGTCGCTTCATTCACGCACCTGTTCAGAACCCCCTTCTCGGTGGAAATCCACTCTTGTAGTAAACGAAGGTCCTTGTTGCCTAGTGCGGGAATAGTTGAAGCATGTGCTATCTTTGATTGAATGTTGCTGAATACGCCCAATCTGCTCATAGTGTCCGGACGAGAGTTTCTACACACTGTCAACGCCTTGATTGAAGGTGTGGGGAGGGCGGCTGCACAGCATTACGTCTGCATTAACTGCGGCGAAGACCCTTGAGCGCATGCCAAGGGAGATTTTGACCTCGTGTGCGGCTGTCAGCCTTGTTTACACCATTTCTCCACCGGTCTTTATCCCCTGTTAACCCAAATACATTAGAGTCGTCGAACTGAATAAAGTAAAGCAATTGACGGTTTGGCTCGCCCAATGCCGTCTCGGCACAATATACCACATTTTTGCCATTTAGCCCAGACCACATCGTTCACTAGCAAGCACATGCCTCAGATCCAACCTTTCCCC